AATATCATTTAAATATGTAACAAACATTTAAAAATGTAGGCGTTTGTGGGCTTTAGAGTGGGCATGGCACCTGCTAAAATAAACATGCGCTGCAGAGGCAGCCCAAGAATCTTAGCTCTTAAACTTTCCGACGAATACGGGTATAATAATAATTAAGAAGGAAGAACGCTTTAGTCCAGTGGCCCGTCTTAGCTAAAGGGACCAAAGGAGATATGCAATCAGCAGATCGAGATTGTAATGCGCCACCTACCCGCGATCTGTTTTTATGGTTATGTGGGCGGCAGACATATTTAAGCTTTATGGGCGTTAGAGTGGACGCGGCAAACTTTTCTTGGGTCAATCGATAGATATTGATGAGAGCAATACATTTTAGTTAAAATGTTGCTTTTCCTATGAATATTGTTGAAGCCACAGTTTTGGGAGGTTTGGGGACGTTTGAGAGGGCGTAGCACTCATAAGAATATCATTCTTTTAATAGTTCAGAATTTCAAATAAAATTTAAATAGCTGTTATAGGAACGATCGAATAAGTAATATATTTATTTCATACACGGTAGTTGAAATATAACCTTATCTTAAAATATTGCTATAAGTCTTCAATTTTCTAAAAATCGGAAAGCTCTGTATATACAATGCTCCCACGGGAACGACAGTCGTATAGAAACATCGGCAAGCCGAAGTTAGCTTCCTTCCTTGTAATACCCTTGCAGAGGGTACGCAGGGAAGGAGACGTTTCCGACCCCATAAAGTATGTATATTCTTGATCAGCATCACTAGACGAGTCGATCTAGCCATGTCCGTCTGTCTGTCGTCTCTCAGTTGTAAAGCTATCGGTCTGAAACTTTCCCAAATGTCTTATTATATCTTTGGTGTTTTTTAACATATAACCTCCTACGCTTGGAAATAAAAATTTTTAATTAACTCTGAATTTCGAATTTAATTTTATTAAAATCGGCCGACTATATCATATAGCTGTCAAAGGAACGATCGAAAATTGGTGGAAAATTAATATGAAACAAATTATATCTTCGTTGTTTTTTGACATATTATCTTATACTATTGGGAATATCATTATTTGCATTTTTAGGGATTTCGAATTTTATTTAAAAATTATAACTGCAAGGGTATACAAACTTTAAGTTAAAGTTAACTTCCTTTCTTGTATTTTTTTTTATTCTGCATTTTCGGTGATATTTTGGAAGAAGTCAAACACTCCTTGTGGGGCAAGGATAGTTGAAGATAACATTTGATAATACTGATTTTGTTGAACTTTAGATATACCCGTAGTTTTCATGGTGCCAGTGATGCTGCCAGTTTTGATTGCACCTGTTAAGGAGAACTCGATGACTTAGGATGTAGTAATACTTTTTTGTTCACGCCGCTGCCATTTCCCCAGTAATCAAAAAATCGTTTTTACATTTGAGCTCGGATTCCCCATTCTCCCGCAATTATGTCCACACTCAAAGAAATTTATTTCTAAAATCGCTTTAATAAATATACTTTTTTATACCCTTGCAGAGGGTATATTGATTTCAGTCAGAAGTTTGCAACGCAGTGAAGGAGACGTTTCCGACCCCATAAAGTATATATATTCTTGATCAGCATGACTAGACAAGTCGATCTAGCCATGTCCGTCTCCCGTCCGTTTCTACGCAAACTAGTCTTTCAGTTTTAAAGCTATCGGGCTGAAACTTTCCCAAAAGTCTTATTTTTTTTGCAGGTAGTATATAAGTCGGAACCAGACGGATCGGACAACTATGTCTTATAGCTCCCATAGGAATAATAGGAAAAACAAATTTAAAACAAGGAAGAACGCTATAGTCGAGTACCTCGACTATCAGATACCCGTTACTCAGCTATATGGAGATATGCAAGCAGCAAAGAGAGATTAAAATGCGCCACCTACCGGCGGTATACAGATTTAAGCGTTATGGGCGTTAGAGTGGGCGTGGCAAATTTTTGTTTGGATCAATCGATAGGTATCGACGAGACCAATACATTTCAGTTAAAATTTTTTATCTAGCATGAAAATTGTGGGCGTCACAGGTTTTCGCGGTTTGTGGGCGTTAAAGTGGGCGTGGCAAACTTTTTTTTGGGTCAATCGATAGGTATTGATGAGAACAATACATTTCAGTTAAAATTTTTATTCTAGCATCAAAACTGTAGGACCCACAGTTTTGGGCGGCTTGTGGGCGTTAGAGTGGGCGTGGCACTGTGCTGAAACAAACTTGCGCTGCCAAATCTCAATAGCCTAGCTCCCATAGTTTCCGAGATCTCAGCGTTCATCCGGACAGACGGACAGACGGACATGGCTAGATCGACTCGGCTAGTGATCCTGATCAAGAATATATATACTTTGTGGGGTCGGAAACGCTTCCTTCTGCCTGTTACATACTTTCCGACGAATCTAGTATACCCTTTTACTCTACGAGTAACGGGTATAAAAATTATATCTTTGGTGTGTTTTAGCATATAACCTCCTAAGCTTAGAAATAACATTTTTTAATAAGTTTTGAATTTCGAATTTAATTTTATCAAAATCGGAAGACTATATCACATAGCTGCCATAGGAACGGTCGTAAAATTGGTGGAAAAATAATATGAAACAAATTATAGCTTCGGTGTTTTTCAACATATAACCTCCAACGCTTGGAAATAACATTTTTTAATTAGTTCTGAATTTCGAATTTAATTTTATCAAAATCGGACGACTATATCATATAGCTGCCATAGGAACGATCGGAAAATTGGTAGGAAAATAATATGAAACAAATTATAGCTTCGGTGTTTTTTAACATATAACCTCCTACGCTTGGAAATAACATTTTTTAATTAGTTCTGAATTTCGAATTTAATTTTATCAAAATCGGACGACTATATCATATAGCTGCCATAGGAACGGTCGGAAAATTGATAGGAAAATAATATGAAACAAATTATAGCTTCGGTGTTGTTTGACATATTATTTATACTATTGGGAATATAATTTTTGTTTTTTTAAATTTAATAATTATAGCTGCAAGGGTAGATAAGCTTCGGCTTGCCGAAGCTAACTTCCTTTCTTGTCATCCTTGGTTTTAATAAAATTTGTTCTAAAATCCGTATTGAGCTTTGGTCAAATCTAGGGTGAAATTTCATGAACTAAGAATGATTTTTCCGCTTTTAGGGTGGACTGCCATAAATGTAAGTTGTTTTTCTAAAATCAAGGGCTAATTTTTATACACGTTACTCGTAGAGGTAAAGGGTATACTTGATTCGTCGGAAAGCATGTAACAGGCAGAAGGAAGCGTTTCCAACCTCACAAAGTATATATATTCTTGATCAGGATCACTAGCCGAGTCGATCTAGCCATGTCCGTCTGTCCATCTGTCTGTCTGTCCGTCTGTCTGTCTGTACGGATGAACGCTGAGATCTCGGAAACTATAAGAGCTTGGCTATTGCGATTTGGCATGCAGATTCCTGAGCTTCCTACGCAGCGCAAGTTTGTTTCAGCAAACAATCCGCCCAAAACTGTGGCTCCTACAGTTTTGATGCTAGAGTAAAAATTTTAACTGAAATGAATTGTTCTCATCAATACCGATCGATTGTCCCAAAAAAAAGTTTGCCACGCCCACTTCAAAGCCCACAAGCCGCCCACAAACTTCTAAAAATCGTATATATGAACGCGGATGTCTCGGAAAATATCAAAGATAGAAAATTGGGATTTTAGATTTAGATTCCGTAGCCTTGAGCGCAGCGAAAGTTTGTCACGCGAATACGCCACGCCCACTCTAACGCCCACAAGCCACCCAAACCTGTGACGCCTACAATTTTCATGCTAGAAAAAAAATTTTAACTGAAATGTAATAGACTCGTCAATACCTATCGATTGACCCAAAAAAAAAGTTTGCCATGCCCACTCTAACGCCCACAAGCCGTCCATTCCTGTGGCGCTCACAATTAGCATGCTAGATACAATATTTAATCTGAAATGTATTGGTCTCGTCAATACCTATCGATTGATTCAAAATAATTTGCCACGCCCACTCTAACGCCCATAACGCTTAAATCTGTCTACCGCCCAAATAACCATATATTGAGACCACGGGTAGGTGGCGCATTTCAATCTCGATTTGCTCCTTGCATATCTCCATTTCCATTTGGTCCCATTGGTTGATAGTCGAGGTTCTCGACAATAGCGTTTTTCCTTGTTTAAAAATGATTTCGGTTAAAACTTTGAAGTATATAGCCCTTGAGATTCTTTAACTTTGGACAACATTGCATTTTGTAAGTGCGTATCCAAACGCTATTTTATGGTCATGGAATCATTTAAATTGCTATTAACAGTTCATATAAGAAAGTTGAACTCTACGGCTTTTGGGAAGTAGATTAAATATATGATTGATGTTTAAAACAGAAACTTCTGATATCAAACAAAAACACCTCTTAACCGATATACTGCATGTAGTGTGTCATCTCGATTAAATTGGCTAATAATTGATTATTATTTGGTTATAACTTTTTAATCAAACAAAAACACCTCTTAGCGAGGTAAAAATGTAGTGATGATCGCACCTTCAACAAACAAAAGTTCTGATACACTTTCTAAATTTTTCCATTCGACACGCTGCAATATAATATACCTGTGTTTTTCTCATTCGACACCCTTTATCAAAATCGTACAGCTAAACCCAGGCATATTGAATGGCAGCGTGCCGAATGTAACAAATTTAGAAAGTGTATTTATTTAGTATTTCGTATAATACATTTTCGTCACAAAAGTTAGTATCAGAACTTTTGTTGGTTGAAGGAATGATCGATTTGTTGCAAGCATTTGTCCATCCCTCTCGCGCTTTCTTTGGCTGAGTAACGGGTATCTGATAGTGAGGCCATCGACCAAAGCGTTTTATCTTGTTTTATTTTCAAGTAATTATGAAAAACATTATAGAAAATCCAGTTGATTGCAAACATTTGCCTTTCAAAATCTTATACGCAGTTTGTACATTGCTTAACGTGATGCGTCTAAAGCTCAACCGGATAAAGCGCGCGTGTTTCTAATTTTCAGTTCTGAAATACCTCAATGAGCAAGTGTAAATTTATTTTAAGAAATTCTGAGCTAGAGAACTTTTTTTTATTAACTTAAATTATAGGCAGCGCTCAGTCTAAAAAATACACAAAACAAGAAGAAACCTCGTCTCTCACACAAACAGACTTGCTATCACACTTTCCGGACCCATGAACATACGAAGACTAAAAAGATTGCACCCCACAAAAAATTGGGTAAAAGTGAATTGAGTATCACAATACACAGACAAAGGTAACTTATTTTTGTTTATCATAAAAAAACAAGAAAAATCGATACAGCCGAGTGCTTTGATTATCAGACACCCGTTACTCCATTTTAAATATTTTACAAAATAATATTTTAGGGTATAATAGCGCGGCCAAACTGATCTTGCCAAATCCCTTTTAACTAAGTTAGTCATAACATTTAAAATAACAATGCATTTGATTTAATATATAAAAATAAATCTCAAAAATGTATATATATACGTTTAATTATGAACATTAAGTTTGAACAAGCACCCTTGGCGAAAAAAAATGACTTCCCCGAATAAAAAAAGTATTGTTTATTTTCTTTGACCAGTAATTATTTAATGGGAATGCCTGACTGCCTATGTGAAAAACAGGTTCTTTGCCGGCACGCAGAGGTAATACCGCTCAACACCAAGTCTATGACTGCTTCAATGCAGTTCTGCTGCATTTGCGTGTTTTTGGTGGGTGCGTTGGGCTCAGAAAGCGAAACATCAATTAATAACTGCAACTTTCGTTGCTACTCTGGCATGCGGAAATCACTGAAACCTATTTGCAGTAGATGGATTGACGCTTTTGTCTTCTTTTTTTAAGTGCATTGATTTAATCTCCAGCGGGAATTTTATTTTTAAGTCCATGCTGTGTTTGGCACCATTTTTTATACCCGTTACTCGTAGAGTAAAAGGGTATACTAGATTCGTCGGAAAGTATGTAACAGGCAGAAGGAAGCGTTTCCGACCCCATAAAGTATATATATTCTTGATCAGGATCACTAGCCGAGTCGATCTAGCCATGTCCGTCTGTCCGTCTGTCTGTCCGGATGAACGCTGAGATCTCGGAAACTATGAGAGCTAGGCTATTGAGATTTGGCGTACAGATTCCTGATCTTCTTACGCAGCGCAAGTTTGTTTCAGTAGACTGCCACGCCCACTCTAACGCCCACAAACCGCCCAAAACTGTAACTCCTACAGTTGTGATGCTAGATAGAAAATTTTAACTGAAATGTATTGTTCTCATCAATACCTATCGATTGACCTAAAAAAAAGTTTGCCACGCCCACTTAAAGGCGCACAAACCGCGAAAACCTGTGACGCCCACTCTAACGCCCATAACGCTTAAATCTGTCTACCGCCGGTAGGTGGCGCATTTTAATCTCGCTTTGCTGCTTGCATATCTCCATTTCCCTTTGAGTAACGGGTATCTGATAGTCGAGGTACTCGACTATAGCGTTCTTCCTTGTTTTTAATCTCATATAACCAGTTCGGTTAATAAAAAAATATAATTTCAATTTGGATGCCATCTATATACCGAACGTCCTTTTTTCGTAATTTAAAAATGTATTCAGCTCGACTAAGATGCGGCTTGATGCACACACGGAAGAAGCAAACCAGTATTTTCCTTTTTAGGATGTGGAGTGTCAAACGTGATTTTAGGAATATAGTTTTTTTGACAATATGACTTATTATTGACCCAAGATTGTGTTCCCCCAAACTGATTTATTAAGTTTGTACGTCAATACCAATGTACACAATTCTAGGCAGCTTAGAGATTATTGTCCAACAACTCTGTATTTATATTCGTTACTCATAGGGCTTAATTCTTGGTCGGGATCAGGATCAATACACATTTACGTCCGTCCGAAGCCGAAGAATATGCACGCCAAGTCCCAACATTCTAGTTCTTGTAGTTTCCGAGATCTTAGCGTTCATACGGACGGACGGACATGGCAAGTGTATATGGGGTCGGAAACGCTTCCGTCTACCTGTTCCATACTTTCCGACGAATATAGTACACCCTTTTACTCTACAAGTGACTGGTATAACAAGTTTGTTAACTGAATTTACCACGCCCAACCTAACACCCCCAAGCCGCCAAAAACTGTAGCACTCACGTTTTTATACTCGTAGTATGTAACAGGTAAAAGGAAGCGTACCCGACCCCATAAAGAATATATAATTTTGATCAGGATCACTAGCCAAGTAGATCTGTCCGCCTGTCTGTCCGTCTGTCCGTGTGAACGCTGTGATCTTGAAAACTATAAGAGCTAGATGGTTTAAATTTCAGAATTAATTTCGTTATCTTCGTACGCAGCGCAATATGCCATGCCCACTCTAACGCCCACAAGCCGCCTAAGACTGTGGCTCCTATAGTTAAAAAGCTACACACAAATTTTATCTGATATTTATTGTTCTCATTATAACCTATCGATTGACTCAAAAAAAAATCGCCACGCCCATTCTACCGTCATAAAACTGCCCACAAACTTCAAAAAATCGTACATATGAACATGGAAATCTCGGAAACTGTTAGAGATAGAGAATTGGAATTTCCGATTTAGATTCCTTGGCTTTGTCAGAGCGCAAGTTTGTAACGAAACGCCCACTTTAATCCCATAAACCGCCCAAAACTGTGGCGCATACAGACGAACAGACGGACATGGCTAGTTTGACTCGGCTAGTGATCCTGATCAAGTATATATATACTTTACGGGGTCGGAAATGCTTCCTTCTGCCTGTTACATAATTTTCGACGAATCTAGTATACCCTTTTACTCTACGAGTAACGGGTATAAACATAAGTTCTACGACTTTTGGGAAAATAGACTAATTACACCAGCTTACAAAAAAATCGACGAAATACGCCTTTAAGGCGACCTTTGGTTTCCGGTAAGGTACATCTCCCTGATTAAGAAAAGGGCACTTAAAATGTTTTCTATGGAAACATTTTTTTTTAAGGTGTAAAAAACGTTTTTCGTACCGTTTTATTTTTTAACTCGGGTGTTGACAAACCGAATTCGGTCATCAAAGACTCATTTTACAGGTAATAAAATGACTTATAACTCGTATATACAGCATTGAGTTTTATTCATTAGTTTAAAAGCTACACTTCGTCAAAGTTGAAAAAGTTGGAAAACAAGCAAAAGCGCTGGCACGCCTAAAAACTGAAATGAGTTTTTTATTATTTTCTTGAAGGTAGAACCTTAACGGCGAATATGAGCCATTGATCACGACAATCCGTTGGTAAATCGATTTTGTATAGATTTTTAAACGTATATACCCTATTTCAGTATTCGGGAGCAGCGGCCGTTAAACACTATTTTAAATTTTCCGTGTTGGGGAACGTAAGAATTTGGTGCAAGTTGTTATGCATAACGCCAGTTTCCTTGCTAAAAATATATGAAAATGATTTCCTCGCAACTGCAACCGCATACTTTTTAGCTTGCCCAGCACTAATAGCAAGGAATCTGACGTTAGAAAATAAAAAAGAGCGAAAAACGTTTTTTACACTTTAAAAAAAGTTGGTACCATAGAAAAAATGTTAAGTGTCGTTTTCTTAACCAGGGAGATGTACCTTACCGAAAAACCAAGGTCGGTATTTCGTCGATTTTTTTTTGTAGACTGGTGTAATACGCCATAAATTATACTGCTCAATGTACACTTTTACTCTTCAAGTTCCGGGTATACAAATTTATTTGATTTACAGGTCAGATCATTTTTTTCTATCATCGGATCCGATTTCTGTCAGTTGTCAATGAAACAATAATCTAATATTTGATATTGATAATCTGACAATGATGTTACAAATGCGTCATAGCGACGCGGGCAACAATCAAATAAGCAACTAATATAGACAAATCGGCCGAGTAACAGAAAACAAAAAAAATTAAGTAAATTGAAAATTGCATTTTAAATGCGAGTGTGCGCACCAAAGTTCGCGACCGCGTTTAAAATTGCGACATTGACTGGCACAGACAATAGAGCTCTGAGTGGCTAGCCAAGAGACGGCTTGTCGACCCAAATCGCTGCGCTCTGCTCGGCAAGACTTTCACTTTCAACTCGACGCGCACGAGTGCACCAAGTGACGGTAATACCCTAGCTTACGGACCTCACACCCGAATAGCGCAAAAAAAATTGTTATTGCTGTACTGAGAAATCTTAAGAATTTACATAAGGAAATAACGTTGCTGTTAGCATACTACTCTTGTAATCAAATTTTAATGTTTCGTGCTTTTATTAAAAACAAAGCTCTACAATTTGCCATCAAAATAGGGGAATTTAAGTAAGCGTTATGGGTTTTAAAATAATAAAGCCCAAAACAGCTTCAAACATTTTTTGGAAAATCACCACTTAAATATTTCAAAGTAATAAGTCAAGTGAAAGGAATTGTTTTTGTGTGAGAGATGGATTTATGCGAACTGCAAAGCTACATTCCATATCTTCTTAAAGAATGGTCCGATTTAAACAATTTGTAGATAGGTATTGACAAACAAAACAGAATCACAATTTTACAAAATCTTTAAAAATGTGGGTTCCAGACAGATTTTAGAGTTATAGGCTTTTGTGGGCGTTTGAGTTGGCGTACCAAACTTTTTTAGGTCAATCGTTAGGCTTTGACAAAAAAAAAACTTTCTGCGATCTCAGCGTTAATACGGACGGTCAGACAGACGGGCATGACTAGTTCGACTTTATTTATATTTTAGTTTAAAATTTGATTGTGCTCAAGACCTAATTAAGAAATGTAGTTTAAGACCTTGAGGAACATAAAAAAATATAAGTTGTCTTCTGAAGGACTCGAACTCACGCCACTCAGACTGCTAGGCTTCCCATTTTTAAACATTTAGAACGGTTTTTAGGCGAATCGGCCATTTGAAAATTTAAAAAAATAGGCAACTTTATTTTGGAACGATAGGTATTGACGAAACTAATTCAGTCCAGTTAAAATTTGTGTTTGTGGGTATTTAATAGTCGAGGCACTTGACTATAGCGTTCCCTCTTGTTTAGGTATAAAATCGAACCCGCTGTAAACCGCAAAAGCTTCAAAACGAGTTTGAATTTGCCTTGTTGCATTATCTGAAGCAAAGCCACCGTCACTATAGTGCTTCAAGAGTAAATGATCGATAAAGAGAGATTGGACTCTTTCCTCGCCGGCACTCAAGTGCAGTGACCATGCGCGGACGCTCCGAAGTCTTTACAGTTTTGGTGCGTTGCGTCTTTTTCGGTCTCTTTCGGCTATTCAGGATTACATCACTGATTCGACCAGAGATGTGGGACGATAAGAGAGCTGCGGAAACGCTGTCACTTCATTATAGGTGGTGCTTATGCGGCATCGCGATATAAGGTCGAGTGTTGAAATGCAACCTGCAATTATAATTTTCCCCGACTCTAGTCGTCGGAAATTAGAGCCGGTAATTTAGCTGTTCGCGTGCAGCGACCGCTGCGGCTTTAAAGGATTCGCATTCCCACGTCTTTTGCATTCAAAATCAGGCACGATTATCGGCTCACACTTGATGACGGGCTTCTAGCATATGACGCAACTTCGATTCGAAGGCGGCATAGAATATGTAGCTCGGCGACTGTCTTCCTTTGACCCCCCGCGCGAAGGGGAACTCATTTACTTATTTGGGCCCATGTCAGGTGTTAATCAAGCTAAGCTTGCCTCGCAACACGTCGTGCATTGTGAGGAGTTTGGACAACAAAGGCTTAATTTAAACAGCGGACACGCCCACAAGTGCTCCCCCAGCTGAATGCATATGAATTTAAGTGGTAGGTGGCATTGATACAGAGAAAAATGAGATAGACCAGATACCACATTTATATTGTATTTTCGAACATAAAAATTTGGATAATACTATTTGATTGCTGAATAAAATGTAAGTAAATGTGCTCGTTGTCTAAATAAAATTGAGTAGTTTTTAAATATAAGTTGGGCAGCCAAAGTTAAACAAATCATACGGTAGTTTAAGATTAATACCTCTCATTTTGTAAGCATTTTAATATTTCATATTTTGCGGCTTTCTTTTTCAGTGCAATCCGAAGCCAGGCAGTTGAACGGTCGCTGGCTCTGCCTCTTGCTATTGACAATTGTGATTATTTCTGTTGCTACAAGATGGTGCAGTTGCTGTCGCCACTGCCATGTGCGAAATGCAAATGAAATAGTGGTTAACGAAGCTACATAGCTGCTACTTTGACTTGTAATACTTTACTTTTACTTTTTATGATTAACATTTCCCACCCAAAGTTGAGAAACTTAACATGCTCTTGGCCCGTTGTTCACTTATCCACATTCGTACTTTTTGCGCAGACTCTGCGCAATGAAATGAGAAATCCCGGAGATCGTAAACTGCGAAGTTGGCGCACTCCCCAAGATGCTCAGCGCTAAAATGATTTTGTTGTCTTCTGAGCCATCATCTTTTAATCACCCGCGTTAGTCATCGAGCCCAACCGTCCCCACACGGCCCCTCCGCTTGTCACCGACCTGGGTGTTGCAATTGAAAGTGAAACTCTTCTTAACTTTAGCTCCGAGTCAAAGGTTGGTGGGCCTGACAGAGTCCACTGCCCCGCTCCGCTTGGTCTCTTTGGAGGCCCACGCACGAGCTGGAGTGTGAAATGTTGTCATCGTGCGGATGAGTGCGCAACTCGAGTGCGGAATACTTGAGTCACGGAGAGCTGAACGAATTTCATTTGGGGTAGGTCGGGCAGCAGCGAAGGAAAAACTGGTTCTATGTCTGAAAAGTCTGCCACTGAAGTCTCTCCTACCACCAGCTCGACAGGGGTTTCCCTGAAATTTCTCAAGAGTCTTGCCAACGACCAAGGGCTTTAAGCCCACTTTCTTGAAGGCCTGGTGGCTTGGGCCAAACATTGTGATCGACGGCACTTGTTCAAACACGAAGGATCAGATCAGATATAATACTCATTGATGAACCACAGTTGGCGAATAGCACCGATACGAAGCGTGTTACGCATCTGCTTTTTTCTGCGTAATAAACTCACTTTAATTTTTTGGTAAGCTCGACGTGGCTACAAACGGTTGCGAACGCTCAGCTTGTTCCGCTACACAGGATGTGATCGGACTAATAGAGCTCAATTTTAGGTTTTCTCAAAGACGGTGGCGACTTCAAAGTGCGACAGATCGCAGCGCGAACACAAATACAACTGACGGCGAATGAAAAACGCTTGCTTGCAAGTAAAAAAGCATCCAGCTGGAAAACAGCAAAAAAAAGTAAAATTATTATGTATACATATGTTTGGAGGCCGACGGCGCAGTGGTCGTGGCAGCAGCAGAGCACCAGCAAACAGCGAAGGTAAATCCGGCAATAACAACGATGCCAGCGTTAACGAACGCAGCTAGAGATACTTAACCAGCACTCGTACACAGTCAATAGCTGGACGCCAATCCCGCCCGGTACCGCCCCATCGCGTCCCCCCAATCCGCCCGCCATCTCCACCAAACGGGCCCAAAAACGCAAAAGTCGATTCCGAGGGTAAAGCCATCTCCAAGACAAGGCGAAATTGCTCTTGAAAACAGTAACTTTTGTTGAGACTGAGACTGAGACTGAGTCGGCTAACAAAGCTGAGGCAAGCCAAAAAAGAGGCAGCCGAAATGAGCGAACAATTGCGCAATTGCTGCCAGCGAGCCGGCGGCATCAGCAACACCAGCACTCGTTGTTATCGCTGTACTATGGGACAAACGACCATTTTGCGGCCTCAGTTAATAACATAAAAGCAAGAACCTGGATTGGTTGCCTTTGGGAATTTAGTTTGTTGAAGAAAGAGGTGGATTTCTAGGAAAAGGTTTTACTGCGTATCTCATATCATAATTATTATTTTTCACTAGCTTATTTTTTTAAGGAGTAACATAGGGTTTCTCGACCAAGATCAAGCACTTTTTCAGGACTTGTATTCCTTGCAGGGGGTGTAATGATTTCATAAAGTATATATATTCTTGATCAGCATCACTAGACGAGTCGATCTAGCTATGTCCGTCTGTCCGTTTGTACGCAAGTTAGTCTCTCAGTTCTAAAGCTATCGGAATAAAAGCTTCCCAAGAGTCCGAAAAAATATGAAAAAAATTCTAACAAAATTGTACAATTTTACACATATGTATTCTACTCTTAGTAATATACCTTTTTTTATTTTTTATCCACAAGAAGAGCATGTGGCTCATATTGCAAAATAATAGGAATATAACACTTTTATTTTGCCATTAGTTATCCGATCGTTCCAATGGCAGCTAATGATTTGGTCATCCAATTTTTTAAAAATTTAATTCGACATTCGTATATATCATATTTTATTATTTCAGAACTTCAAACAAAATTTGATCAATATTAAACCATACTCGCTAGTAAATTAAAATGTAACAATTTTAATTTAATTTATTATTAATTTATTAATTTATTAATTTATTATTATTATTAAATAAATTTAACATTTCAGTGGTTATTTTAGAACTTTCTAAAAATTAAAAAGCTCTGTACATACATTGGTCTTATACGAACGAAGGGTAGCGAAGATAGCTTCCTTTCTTGTTATATATTTCAAAGGATATTTTAAGCTTAAATGATTTGGTACAATTTAGGTGAATATAAAAATTATATCAAAACTCTTTTCTGGAGACCATATTTTCGGAGACTCAAAAAAATGGTACCCATCCGGCGCACCTGATAACTGGTGATAGGATCATTAGAAATTATAACTTATTTATTTATTTCGATGTACATTTTGTTTATTGGAGTGTCTTGAAACATACTGCTTGAACAAAAAAATTTATGATATAACTTGAAATTTTGCCGAAGATGTTAAACCCTAGTACTAAGGTCAGCTATTTGTTTCACTAGTCGAAAAATTGTATTTTTTGTAGTGTGACAAAAGTTTTAAAAGTTCACCCGCAATGCATGTAGCATGGTCTTACTGTCCAGCAGCTGGGTTTGTGTTGTTGACAAACGGAAAACAAATGGATTAGAGCAATTTAATAACGACTAGTCTGCTGGTGCACAAAATGCCTCCCACTCAGCATGCTCCTTCCCAATGGATTTCTTGATTGGGTTATCTTCAGCACTTCCACTCTTTTGCGGACTTTCCCTGTTGTGGTGTTGCTTCCGTGGGTCAAGTCCCACAATACTGCAGGCGTTTTTGGGTTTTTCCTTACATTTTTGATTTTAGGTTTCCACACCGCTTCTGCACAACCACACCGAAAGTTTAAATTTCTTATTTTTTGCGCGGCGGCTAACGGCGGAATTCACTCACTACATCTGGTATTTTCCTTATATTTCCTTAGCTCATTTGAGTACCGCGGTGAAAAATGGACCCGACGAAAAGCTTTAGCCGCCTATTTGCTTCTCGCTCTCTCCTGTGGTTAGCTAGCGGATTTAAAAAAATATACATTTTTTAAAATTGCTAAAAAAATTTCAAAGTGTTTTATCCAAGCAGTAGTTTTTGATATTCTCATGGCAAAACAAATTCAACACAAGAGAGATCGCAATAGTCGGTGCCATCGAATATCAGTTACTCTTTACTCAGTTAAGTGTACTGGTCACATTCAGGAGGGGGCGAGGGAGATAGAGATACACAAGTAGCAAAGCGTCTGTTCTCAAGATTGTACACATTATTTGCTTAAAAAATGTTTAGTCTGTGGTTGGGAATTCAAAAGAAAATTTTTGGCTATTGTGGGCGTAAAATTGGGCATGGCACCTTGCTGACACAAACTTGCGCTGCACAATAAGCTCTAGAATCTGCATGCCGAGTCACAACTTTCTAGCTTGTATACGAGTAGTTTCCCAGATCTCAGCGTTCATACGGAAGGACAGACAGACGGACATGGCTTGATCGACTCGGTTAGTGATGCTGATCAAGACTATATGTACTTCATAGAGTTGCGAACGCTTCGTTCTACCTGCTGTATACCTTCCGACGAATCTAGTATACCCTTTCACTTTACGATTAACGGGTGTAAATATCGGTTCATAACTTTTTGAGTTATCGTGTCCAAGCCGCTCTTTAGAGAAAAACGTCAGCCTAAAAGACCTGAAGAACATAACTTAAAAATCTCAAACCTTTTAGACAAAAAAAAAAATTTTTTTTAATTATTTGCTGTTGCAATTTTAAGCGGAAAGCGGTTGATATAGAAAACCCCTGTTGCAGTATGAGCTGATCGGCCTTACCATACTGAAAACGAAAAAGAAAAGAAAATGGATTACTATGTAAAACTAAATACAATATCAACATTAACAAGTGAAATTATTTGCGCGGCAAATGATTTCTACATTGCTTTTGGCGAATTGATCAAGTAAAAGAGTTCAGTTCAGTAAAGCGTTGTCAGAATGGAACTAAAACTATTAAGAACCCATAATCTCCCGGGAAAGGTTACGACCTTGGCATCTTAACGAAAAAAACAGCCAAGCCACCTCGCTGAGGTGGCATCATTGGTAAAGTCTTAAAAGAGAGCGGCAGAGCAAATGATGTCTCTATATAGATTTTTACTCTATGATATAGACACCATTTGCTCTGCCCGAACCTCTGCCCAACCTCTGCTGATAGCCAATTCAAGGTCAAGTTTGAAGCTAACTTCTATTTTTCAACACACCCAACAAGTGCGAAGCAACAGCAATAGTGGTGAGGAGTAATTACAAAAACAAAACAGTAAGAGCGGTGCAGATATATAATTTCCCATAAAACTCACCGCGGGAAGTAATTACAAGGTCCCATCGAACTTTTAAAAAACTAGGGATATCATCTCTTTTCGCCTAGGTGGCATCATTGGCAAAGTCTTAAAAGAGAGCGGCAGAGCAAATGGTGTCTCTATATAGATTCTTACTCTGTGTTATAGAAAACCATTTGCTCTGCCCGAACCTCTGCCCAACCTCTGCTGAGAGCGAATTCAAGGTCAAGTCTGAAGCTAACTTCTATTTTTCAACACACCCAACAAGTGCGAACCAACAGCAATAGTGGTGAGGATCAATTACAAAAACAAAACAGTGAGTAAGAGCGGTGCAGATATATGATTTCCCATAAAACTCACCGCGGGAAAGTATTACAAGGTCCCATCGAACTTTTAAAAAACTAGGGATATTATCTCTTTTCGCCTAGGTGGCATCATTGTCAAAGTCTTAAAAGAGATCGGCAGAGCAAATGGTGTCTCTATATAGATTCTTACTCTATGTTATCACTGTGAACGGCAGTCCACGTAGTGACGAAGAGCACTAAAGGAGAGTGCGAAGGCGACTACTATCTATAGCCGCAGAATTGAAAATCTGCTGTGATGGTCTGATAGTAATGAATGATGCACCAATCGAAAGGTATCGCAAAAACTAAGAAGATTGCAAGACTTTAGAAATCTTAATTGGCTTGGGAAAAAGTGCAGTAAAAGTGAAAATATAGAAAATTGAAGCTGTTGGTACCGGTTGGGACTAATGCTTCCGGCTATTAGCCTAGTTCTATTTTTACTGAGAATGCGTGTCGACTGACACCTCATATGTTAAAATACGATGCTCCGCTCAAAAGATACTCCAAAAACATTATTTTAAGGGCCTTTTCAAAATGAAAAGGTTTTCCCTTTGCTTGTGGGCTTGTATGTATGTATTTTGCTTTACGACTTTTGGAAAAACCCGATAGTTTGGCGGGAAATTAAAAAAAATAAAAAAAAATAAACTTCTAATGCTACAGATACGTGCTATGTCGCTGAAAAGGTAATACAATTTGCTAATCAAGTTAGCTTTTCTTAAATGGTCTTAATACAATAGATTTAAAGTTAAAGCTAAAAGTTTTTATTTTTAACCACGATTTGGCTATATGCTCAATTGGTTTGAACGACTTCTTTTTACATTTCAAACTATATAGCCCTTGAGATTCCTCAACTTTTGATATATAACACTTTTTGTCATTAAAATTACCGTTTCCAAGATATTGAGCGACAAAAAGTGCAATCAGTTTTAGTTCAGAATGAAAAAAATTTTTGATAGCCTTGAATGCCCAAAACTATGAGAAAAAATTATTATTAGATACTTTTTAAGTAAAAGGAAAACATTTAGAAGTTTGTGTTCGAAAATTAAAGACTACACGTGTTTTAATAAACAATTTAATTTATTAAAACTCAAAAAACGTTGCACGTTGAATTTCCGATGTCTAACTACACATACTTTATTAAAGTTCATAGATAACGGGTTTCTATACTTAAGTATAATGCGGCATACAGTGTTAAAGCTATAACAATAGCTCATACGAGTATGAGTATTTTATAATTAATGTTTTAGCCATTCTATTATCAAACAAATACAGCTCTTAACGAAGTAAGCGGTCGTTACGATTGCACATTCAACGTACACAAGTTAGAATATACAATTTTGTGACGAAAAATGATTATACATCCGACTAAATAAATATACTTTCTAAAATGTTTTTATTCGGAACGCTACAATAGAATTCACCTTTGTATGCGAAAAGCTTAAATATTTTGATGAAGTCATTATACATCCGACTAAATAAATACACTTTCTAAAATTTTTTCATTCGGAAAGCTACAATAGAATATACCTTTGTAAGCAAAAAGCCTAAATATTTTGATGAAGTCGCATGTACAATCAATTTTCGTCACAAAATTGTATGTTATTGCTTTAGTATGTTGAAGTTTCGATCGTCACGATATTGTTTGATATAGTTTAATCCAAGACACCTTTCATTTATTTTCCATTCATTTTCATTTCCAAAATATTTTGATTAGGCAAGCAGATTCTAGAGGTTCTTTCAGCGGAGTGTCACGCTTATTCTAACGCCCATAACGATAAAGTCTGTCTGGCGCCAACATTTTCAAAGATTTTGTTTCAGTGCAAACTGAAATATATTTAACGATTTCTTTTTGTGTTACACTATAATTTTAACCCCCTAGGGCCCAAGACCGCTTCTAGACGGGCAAACCTTAAAACATTTTGCTATTTTGCGTTTGCAATAGATGCAAGACCTTGCGTCAGTTGCTGCAGTCGCCTGAAGTTGAAAAAGTCTGCAGGTCGTCCTAAATAATTATTTTGTAAAAAGAGCGGATAAAAAATTGTTTTTATATGTTTTCAAAGGTCCTCCGCAATATTTATTATTTATTTCCGTATTGTTGATAATACTAAGTAAGCAAAACAAAAAACAAATACAGAAAAAAAATGTTCGTAAAGTGAATCAACTCGAGGCATATTTAAGTTTAAATAATTGCTTCAGCAGACATGGAACGACGACACAGGCTAAGATGTCTTTCCGATGTGGAGATTAGAAATATTAAAATACAATTGAATTAGAAAATGATACGGACGTAGAAGAAGAATTGGAGAACGATTTGACTGTTGATACTAACGAGTCAGCGTTTCCTGTTAATGAGGAAGATGAAGAGGCGATTAAAAAAGGTGTAAATATGACGGATTACATGCTGGCTGTAGAGGTTCGGTAACATCGAGGATATTCCACTGAACTTTGTGGATCTTCATCAGGAGTCGAAATGTCTTTGTCGGGTTGGAAGGACAAAAAGGCAGTGCGATTTGCTTCGACGATCGTTATACGATTACAGTGAAAAGAAACAAATACACAAATCGAGTATATGCTTGATTTAGTCATGGTAAATGCTTACATCGCATATATGTTTTGCAAGGTACAAACTCCTTCTCTAACAAACGGACCAAGGAGCCCAAGACCAGTTGAAAATGCAAAGAGCTACATAGGAAAGAAAACTTTTGTGCCGTCCAATGATGTACCTTGTGGTGGCGATGACCGTTTTCCTTAAATGCAACACAAGCCTGTGCCTTTCACAGCAAAAAGACTTTTTCTACGATTTTCATCACAAGTAAGAACACGAACTTTTTGTACAAAAATATTATGATGTTTTGTAAATTTAAGTTAATTTTAATTGTTATTTCTTTTGTTTTATAAGCCTTTATTTATTTAGTTTATAATAAAACGTGAAAACAACAACATTTTTGTGCTGAACATTTTTTGGCCTACTTTCCCAAAGCCTCCTCTAGGCGGTCCGAAGTTGAATTCCTATAAAACTCGATCGGTGAAAATTATAAAAATGTCCAGAACAAACCTTTACTCTTAAGATATGTCGAAAAATTTGGGCACGAGGGTTAATGAAACGATCTTTGTTGTAGTCAGAATTGATCTATGTATGTATGTATATATCTTTATCCTATAATAATATGTCAGAAGTCTAATGATGAATAATAGCGAGGGAAAAAAGAAGGACAGAAAAATATTATTTAGAGTTGAAACTAAAGCTTCTCCCAGCACAACGGCGTTTTTTGGTCGTTTCCTGCACCGCACCGGGACATGACATCAGCCCCGACGCCGAAAAGCACTCCGTTGGCGCCGAAGCGAAGGCAGTTAAATCGGTACTCAAAGAACTGGCTGGCCAGAACCTTAAAAACCACCGACAGACAGACCTGCATGTTGCCCTCGCCGAAGGCCCTGATGTCGTAGAGCCGTAGGCAGCTGAAGAGCGGCAGCGGCAGGAGGAGCGGTACGCAGTAGTCGGGAGGATTGCGGGCCGAGAACCCAAAGTTTGCCACTGTGCGCTGGTTCAGCTCCACGCTCAGGCGCAGACCAAGGTCCGTCTTGCTGTACTCGAGAGAGGCACAGAGCCGCTGGTTGAGGGAACCTCCGAATCCCAGGGCCAGACCCAGGCAGCATCGGCAGGCGAGCTCGGCGCAGGAGCAGGGCTGCCACAACTGCGGAAGCTCCACGACGTTCCCGTTTACTGGCAGTTGCCTAGGGCCCCGCAAAAGGGCCAAATAGCGCAGCGGATCCAGCTCCCGGCCACTGGTCAGGTCGTAGAGCACCAGACGCGGCCCTGCACCCTGATACGGTGACTGCAGGGGCCCAGATGAGGGGAGGAACTGTGCCTGGGACGGCACTCCTAGCGCCGCTAGCACGCAGATCAGTCCATGGAAATCGATCCGTTGCCAGTTCATGGTTTCTAAAGTTGCAAGTGCAGGGGTTTTCCGGGAGCGTGTTCTCGGTCGCAATTGTCAAAACAGTGTGATGTACATATGTATATATGTACAGTTTGCCAACAGTGGAATTATTCCGAAGCCCCGACCGCTTTGCTGGCCCGCCAAATGGCTCGGAAAATGGTTATTGTCTTACATTAGTAGGCGTTGGCAGAGTGCGGCAGGCTAGCCGCAAAATTGTGTCAATGCTAGATCGATGCGATCAATACAGCTGTAGAGTAGAAGCTCGGTGGAGCTAATAGCTACGTTGATAACAGGGTATTTTGCATTTGAACGATTTCCAGGCGTTACATGTGCGACCATGTGCAAACAGTAAATTGCACACACAGCCTGACCCTTCAAAGTGTGTCAAAATAACCTGCACAGCTCGATTTGCGCAAACGTACGGCAATATTGGTCATCTGCAGCTGTCCGTAGTCACCATCGGTCCAATAATTACGAAACGAACTACAGACATACATATATGTATTTACGGTCATCCAAACAAAGAAATACAATTTAACGCTTTATTAAGAGCTCCACGGATTAGATAAGGTCTAAGCGCTTTAGAAAAGGCTTATTCCATTCCATTACATAGGAAGATAACTTATTTTTTTAACCTTCACGTAAGTTTGAACATTAAAGGTGGACCTTGAATTGGCTCAGAGACACATTTACATACAGACATGCGGTTGAAAAATATACAACTTTTGATGCACATCTGAAAATGCGGGAGTTTACACAGCCGACTCAAAGGGCAACGACTATGTATATCAGCCTTCCAAAGATAACTTTTATAACTACCGGGAAAATAGCCTGTCGCAACTTTATTTCACATGAATGGTGAGGTAATTATAACCAAAAATGTATATTCGATTCGTGGTATGTATAGACCGTGTAAATCGAATATGCATATGTTCTTTATATGGTCGCAAAAGCTTCCTTTCCGACGAATCTTGTATACCTAGAGTAAAACTCTACAAGTAACGGATATATGTATGTAATTAAGTTGGGGTAAATGCGGTACTTAGTCTTAAAGGCTTGCAACCGCAATTTTATATCATGAATAAACGGGTAATATTGGGCAACGGTTGCAAGGGTATAAATACGTCAATATTATGGTCTCAATTGTTTACTTTTTTTAAAATTTTAAAATTTTCTTTATTTAAAGAAGTAGAGTTTTCACAAAAATAGTGACGGTTCAGTAGTGACGTTAAAGCTGTGTTTTGATTTTGGGCTGCAAATGGCTAAGCTGCTGTTAAGCCGTTAAAAATGCCTTTCTGTCTTTCAAATTTCTTATTTTTTCGCGCAACGGCGGTATTCGGAATTCACTCACAAAATCTAAGAGGGCGGACAAGCAAATTTAGTTTTCCTGAAAATGAAATGGATTACAACGCAAAACTAAATACAATTTCAAAGCTATGATGTGGAAAGTTTTCAGCGCCCAATGATTTTCTCATTGCTATTAGCAAACAGTTGAAGGATGACAGTTCCGTATAGTAAAAATTGAATAGGAATTATTATGGGCTTTTAAAGTTTAAAACATGGGGAGAACGCTATAGTCGAGTACCTCGACTATCAGATACCCGTTACTCAGCTAAAGGGACCAAAGGGAAATGGAAATGCGCCACCTACCCGCGATCTCAATATATGGATATGTGGGCGGTAGACAGATTTAGGCGTTATGGGCGTTAGAGTGGGCGTGGCAAACTTTTTTTGGGGTCAATCGAGAGGTATTGACGAGACTAATACATTTCAGTTAAAATTAAAAATAAAAGTGGGCGTGGCATCTTCGCGTAACAAACTTGCACTGCGTGCAAGGCTACGGAATCTTCTTCTATCTATCTTCTATAGTTTTTGAGATATCTGCGTTCATACTTACGTTTTTTTGAAGTATGTGGGCGTTAAAGTGGGCGTAGCAAACTTTTTTTTGGGGTCAATCGATAGGTATTCTAGCATCAAAACTGTAAGAGCCACAGTTTTGGGCGGTTTGAGGGCGTTAGAGTGGGCTTGGCACATTGCTGAAACAAACTTGCGCTGCGTAAGAAGCTCAGGAATCTGCACGTCAAGTCTCAATAGTCTTGCTCTAATAGTTTCCGAGATCTCAGCGTTCATCCGGACAGACAGACAGGCGGGCAGACGGACATGGCTAGATCGACTCGGCTAGTGATCCTGATCAAGAATATATATACTTTATGGGGTCGGAAACGCTTCCTTCTGCGTGTTTTATACTTTCCGACGAATCTAGTATACCCTTTTACTCTACGAGTAACGGGTAAACCTTCGCCAAATTAAATTCACTAACATTAAAATGGTCAAAATGTAGTCTACCTTTAAGGTTCAATATTTTATTGCAGTAAACAGCATAAACTTTTCACAAGCCCATAAGGTACGCTACGAGAATTTTCACATTTTCTAACTGACTTCAACCTTTCAAGTATTTACAACACCTATCTCGCATACGTTTTTATACCAAATGTCTTACTTTTCAGAGAACATTTGAAAACGAGTAGAAATACGTATAATGTTGTGGTGAAACAGTTGCCGGGTCTTTTCGAGAATTACATAGGCGTTATGTATTTATGTTTACTTTTTAGCAATAATTTGCAGCTGGTTTTGCAACAGCGGCAGCCAGTGTGAGCATGGTCCAATAACTTTTTTGCTGATGTGTCACTCCATACCGATAAAAGTGACGTATAAGTATCGATAGAGCGCCAGCATTGCGGAAAATGTTATCGGAGTTAACTGAGTCCGCTCACACCTTCAATAGAACCTGCACCACCGCAGCCCTGCGCATTCTTTTTATTTTGTTTTTAGCCATATCCAAAATGTTGTAGTTCTGTAAATAGGGGCCAGAAAGTACAAGGCAAATAGTTTGCAACCAAATATAACCTACTTGCGTTGTCCACCAGCAAAATGGGCGAGTTCTTTAAATCGCTCAACTTCAACTATTTCTCCTCCAGCGATGGTGCTCCATCTGCCAACGGGGCTGCAGGAGGCGGAGCAGCAGGTGCCCTCGGGAGCAGACTGGACAACGACTTCGTGGGCCAGGTCGTCGAGGTGGCTGGCCATAGACTGCGCATCAAGTGTGTTATCGCGGAAGGTGAGAGACGTGGGCGGAAAAAATCAATAGGATGCGTAGCCAGCAGCCACCAATTGTGAAAAGTGAAGACAGAACCAAACACTTGGCTGTGCTTTGTTTACGCTTTCTAATTTCGTGTTGAGCTGTTCCGTTTCGCCTTTTTTAGTCAACATCCTCATATTGGCCACTTACTCGGTTACTCATCAACCCGTCGGGTTTCTGGACCTATGAGTCATACCTCTCCAAAGTGATCGGTTTTCACAAACAAGTTCTTATATAAGAACGGCACTGGATCCATATGATGGTTACCAACTCTAAACTGAGACAGAGAGCAGAAACATACATAAAACACGTACATACATACATAGATAGCGGGTTATAAGCTGGCAACTCCCATTTTTCTCGTGCCCCTGCAATTAGCATTTAAGCAGACCCTTATCTTCGCTTTGTTATCAACATCCTCTCTCGCTCTCACCCCTTTTTTAGGCGGATACGCCTTTGTGTACGTCGCCCAAGATGTCCAAACTGGAACCGAGTACGCCCTCAAGCGTCTGCTCGGGGCTGATCAGCAGTCCTGCACTGCCATTATCAACGAGATCGGGATCCACAAGCAGGTCTCGGGCCACGGAAACATTGTCGCCTTTATAGGCTCCAGTTATACTGCGCCGTCATCGCAACTCGGGGCACAGTACCTTCTACTCACAGAACTGTGCAAAGGTAAGCGCGACCTTGGTCTCCAATCTGCCTATATATATAAATAAATTTATAAATTTTTGTATGCTTTGCAGGGGGGTCCTTGGTGGACTGCTTTAAAACAAACAATGCTACCATCGAACCGTCTTTGGTGCTGCGCATCTTTTACCACATGTCGCGGGCCGTGGCCTGCCTGCATTCACAGTCGCCGCCGATCGCCCATCGAGACATAAAGGTGAAAGTGCTACAAAAACTCAACTCCCTCCGTAATCATGTGCGATTCCGTTGCAGATCGAGAATTTTTTAATTGGTAACGACAAACAGATCAAGTTGTGTGACTTCGGCTCTGCCACCAAGGAGGTGCTCTCACCTACGTTTGAGTGGAGCGCCAACCAGCGAAGCATGCTAGAAGATCAGCTTAACACCGTGACTACCCCAATGTACCGGGCTCCCGAGATGCTCGATACTTGGTCCAATAACCCAATCGGTCCCAAGGCGGACATCTGGGCTCTTAGCTGCATTCTCTACTTCTTGTGCTACCGCAGACATCCCTATGAAGATGGCGGCAAACTACGAATCATCAACGCCAATTATATACTTCCTCCGGATCCTCAGTACCAATGTTTCCGCGATATCATAAGAGGCTGTTTCAAAGTGAACCCGGTCGAGCGCCTGGACATTGACATGGTGCTCGAACGCTTGGCAGCCATCGCGGAGACAAACAACTGGTCGCTGAAAGGGTCCATAGACCTGCATGGAATTCCTATCGAATCCTTACCGGCTGAAAGTCCCGCTCGAAAAAATTCTTTTCATTCGGAGTTTTACACCGAATCGTCTAGTACGACTCCTCATGCAGCGTCCCCCGCAACAATCGCTTCCTCCTCCACTAATGGACACGGGAGACTGCTGTCGTCGCTGCGCGGTGGCGCTGGAACGTTGTTTAAAAACATAAAGGACACATCCACCAAAGTGATGCAGACAATGCAGCAATCAATCGCCCGCAACGATCTCGACATCAGCCACATCACCTCTCGGATCCTGGCTATGCCCTGCCCATCTGACGGATTTGAGTCGGCGTACAAGACGAATAACATCGAAGACGTTCGTTTATCTCTGGAGAGTCGGTTTGATCCAAACAAAATAAGCATTTACAACTTTGGCCAACGTACAGTACCGCGGTTACCACCACCCGTGCGGACAGTTGAGGCAGGTTTCGTTTATGGGTGCACACAGGCTCATGCTCCCAATCTGCAGGTATGTAAAGGGGAAAAAATTAATTTGATTTTTACTAACTAAAAATGTATTGCATCATGTAAATATTTACTTTGATTTGGGTGCGTAAATTGGGTAATACTCTAGATGAAGGTCTGTCCCCCGAAATTCGTGAACAATTTATCGATGGACCGCGGTTTCTTAGGAATTTACATGCAGAAAAAACTTTGCGGTCAGCCATGGTTCTCTTGTAATTGAATTTCAAAGTTCCCAGTTTAATTTTTACGCAAATTTTTTGGGTGAGTCCCGTCTTCAAGAGTGTTACCGTATTTTGCAGTGGGCGGCTCAGCGATGTGTGTGTGACGACTGCTGTTGTACGCTGGCAGAGGCTGTGCAGACCCTGCAGAACCAATCATCAGTACCCCCACAAAAAACTTCGATGTTCTTGTCATACAAATGATTTATCATTTCATGATAAATTCATAAACCTTTAATCGGAACGTCATCGACCAAAATCAAACATTAACAAGAAAGGAAGTTAACTTCGGCAAGCCGAAGTTTGTATACCCTTGCAGTTTTAATTATTAAATTTAATTCGAAATACTTAAAAATGCATAAAATGATATCCCCATTAGTAGCTATAATTTGTTTCATATTATTTTCCCACCATATGATATAGTCGTCCGATTTTGATAAAATTAAATTTAGAACTTATTAAAAAATGTTTATATACTACCTGCAAAAGAAAAAAGACTTTTGGGAAAGTTTCAGCCCGATGTCTTTAAAACTGAGAGACTAGTTTGCGTAGAAACGGACGGACAGACGGACATGGTTAGATCGAGTCGTCTGGTGATGCTGAGCAAGAATATATATACTTTATGGGGTCGGAAACGTCGACTTCACTGCGTTGCAAACTTCTGAAGAAGAGATTCGAAGAGATAATATATGAGAGAAAGGGAATTTCGGATTTGACACGATTGTCGAATGAGAACGTCGGCTCGGCCGACGTCGAAGTCGGTACATTAATGGCACGTGATGTCATTGGCCTATTGT